GTGAGGTTATAAGCAATTTTGTAATCCAATCTTTGTTATATAGGCAATTGAAGTTGCTCGAAAACTTGCAAGCCAGCTCTTCTTTCAACATGTTCTAGAGTGAGTTTTTTTCTCAACACCAATGCTTTTAGCTTGTGCTTCTTGTTTCTCATTTTGCTTTCTTCCGCGATATTTTTTCAATCAGTGAGAATCTTTTCGAGGATGGGAATCACTTGTACCGGTTTCTAGACGATGATCCTATCGTGTCCTCTCAATGCCACAACATCCCTAGAGGGATAACTGAGTTGAAACCAAGACCAATTGTAGAAATTGCGTATAGACTCAGACTTCTGTATCGATCAATCCTTGAAGCTTACACTACGCCGGATGGAAAACATGTAGACTACAGAAGCATCCATGGAAGTGAAGAATTTGCAAGGTAGTATATTTGCTTTCAAACAAAATCAAAAATCTTATCTTGCTGATTACTGAACCAGAGTATCATTCCATTTTCCAAGGTACCTGAGAATAATTCAGGAGCTCCATCGAGTAGAGCTTGAACATATGCAGCGAGAGGAAAAGCTTGCCTTCTTCTTAAACCTATATAACATGATGGCTATACATGCAATACTAGTATGGGGACATCCAGCAGGACCACTTGAACGAACCAAGATGTTTGGGGACTTCAAGTATGTTATTGGTGGCTACACCTACTCGCTCTCGGCTATCCAAAATGGAATCCTAAGGGGTAACCAGAGACCGCCTTACAATCTTATGAAGCCCTTTGGTGCTAAGGATAAACGTTCAAAGGTAAAAAAAGAGTTTGAAGAAGCTGGCTTTGACTGTTGTTGACGCAAGTCTCTTGATGATTGATATGATTCTGTTGTCTTCAGGTTGCTCTGCCTTATGCAGAGCCTCTGAGTCATTTTGGTCTAGTTTGTGGTACTCGGTCTGGACCACCTCTACGATGCTTCTCGCCTGGAGAGATCGATAAAGAACTCATGGAGGCAGCTCGCGATTTCTTAAGAGGCAGTGGACTCATAGTTGATCTCAATTCCAAGGTTGCATACATCAGCAAAATCTTCAATTGGTAAAGAAAAACAAAAGCTCAGAGATATCTCATTCGATTCAAGGGACTTCAAATAACTTAGTTACAAGATTTCCGTCACTTATTAAACTTGATTTTGGTGCACAGGTATGGCGTAGATTTTGGAAAAGGCGAAGAGGAGGTACTGAAACATGCATCAACTTACTTGGAGCCTCAACTTTCAGAAGCTTTGCTTGATTTGCTAGTTGATACTCAGTTTAGAGTTGTCTACCAAACATATGACTGGGGGCTTAACAACTAGAAGACTTATAAATCTGGATGGATGGAAGCAATTTATGCCGCTATTTTTTTAGATGTGCTTCATAATCTTATATAACATTACCCTTTAATCTTTACAACATGATTCTAGTTGTAACCATGATTCTATGACTTGATCTTTTCACTGTGGATGGAGGAAATCACAAACCAAACTCTCAACTTTGTTGCAGGGATTGGAAACTTATAGATTCGACTTTCGACTTTATCACATTCTTAGTCTTTTATTATGGAACAAATCCAGTTTCTTTTTTCCTGCAGATTCTTCTTTCTTTGTTTCAGAATTTCTTATGAAACATGAATTTTATATTCCATTTCATTTACATAAGGAACATAAATAAATCTGACAGTTATCTCACAAATGGGTCGACAATGGAGTTTCCATGGCAGACTGAAATCTGGTCTTGGAAGATTAATTTGTCTTCCATTTCTCTTTGGCAAGTGTCTAATGAAACTTTCTGAAGAACAACACCTAATACATCAGTTAGATTTGCCGTAAAAGCTAACAACTATCAATGCATTGCTTTCTATGCCAACATGGAAGAAAGAAACACACAAAAAATAAGGATAAATATAGTTACGTTTCATTACAAGAAATAGTATCCATACGAATAAATGGGGAAAACGTACTAATTCACCCCGGAAAGTTTCATATCCTCCCATATAGATCCGGATAACTAATTTCGTACTATTTCACCACATAATAAACATTAAACGCTTATTTCACCCTATTCCACCCTATTTCTTGCACAATACATATCATTTTTGTGTGTTTATAAATGTTAGAATACACGTCTAAATATTAAATTCGATTAAAAACATATTTAATTATTTAATCACACGCTTGGCGTGGATCAAAATATAGTATTATATTAAACATGGTGAAATTCGATTTTAGAATACAAGGATGAGATACGATTGTAAAATACGAGGATGAAATACTAAACCGATGTTAACAATAACGACATGGGAGAAAAACACTACAACCGAAAACCAACCATAAACTTATTGAACACAAACTAAACCATGAACCACGAAGATCCAATCAAACCACACTTCGAAAGAGCCAAACGCTAACCTTCCACATAATGACCGAATCAAGGAATCCTTGCATCAACAGAATCATACACGGCAAGCATTTCTTAGAATTGACACGCATATCTCAACCTAGTAATATACAAACTGTGCATCTATATATTGTCTGAATTCAAGTATTATGCAATAATCCTAAAAATAGTTTTCTTTAAGTGTTGTAATTTGTAAATATCGAATTTCTTAGAAGATCGACGTATACTTTTTATCGTACGTCATGCATGACTTACTATAGAGGAAACAGACAATAGTCAACGTGGTCATGCATGAGTGATGATGAGTGGACGTCAAAGTTGACATTTAAAAGATATACATGTCTAGGGGGAAAAATAGTCCACTAAATTGTACTATCTTC